TCACATATCTCCTCGTAATATTACACATCTTTCACATATCTCTTAGTAATATTACACATCTTTTACATATCTCCTCGTAATATTACACATCTTTTATCTATCTTTAATAATATTACACATCTTTTACATATCTCCTCGCAATATTACACATCTTTCACATATCTCCTCGTAATATTACAAATCTTTTACATATCTCTTCGTAATATTACACATCTTTCAAATATCCCCTCTAATATTACACATCTTTCACATATCTCCTCGTAATATTACACATCTTTTACATATCTCCTCGTAATATTACACATCTTTTACTTATCTCCTCGTAATATTACACATCTTTCACATAGCTTCTAGTAATATTACACATTTTTCACATATCTCCTCGTAATATTACACAATTTAATATATCTTTAATAATATTACACATCTTTCTCATATCTCCTCGTAATATTACACATCTTTCAGATATCTCGTAATATTACACATATTTCAAATATCCCCTCGTAATATTACACATCTTTCACATATCTCCTCGTAATATTACACATCTTTTACATATCTCCTCGTAATATTACAAATGTCTTACCTTTCTCCTCGTAATAGTACACATCTTTTACATATCTCCTCGCAATAGTACACATCTTTTACATATCTCCTCGTAATATTACCCATCTTTTACATATCTCCTCGTAATATTACAAATCTTTCACATATCTCGTCGTAATATTACACAATTTAATATATCTTTAATAATATTACACATCTTTCTCATATCTCCTCGTAATATTACACATCTTTCAAATATCCCCTCGTAATATTACACATCTTTCAAATATCCCCTCGTAATATTACACATCTTTTACATATCTCCTCGTAATATTACACATCTTTCACATATCTCCTAGTAATATTACACATTTTTCACATATCTCCTCGCAATATTACAGATCTTTTATATATCTTTAATAATATTACACATCTTTTACATATCTCCTCGCAATATTACAAATATTTCACATATCTCCTCGTAATATTACACATCTTTCAAATATCCCCTCGTAATATTACAAATCTTTTATATATCTCTAATAATATTACACATCTTTTACATATCTCCTCCTAATATTACACATCTTTTACATATCTCCTCCTAATAGTACACATCTTTTACATATCTCCTAGTAATATTACACATCTTTCACATATCTCCTAGTAATATTACACATCTTTTACATATCTCCTTGTAATATTACACATCTTTTATATATCTATAATAATATTACACATCTTTTACATCTCTCCTCGTAATATTACACATCTTTTACATATCTCCTCGTAATATTACACATCTTTTACATATCTTCTTTAATATTACACATCTTTCACATATCTCCTCGCAATATTAAACATCTTTCACATATCTCCTCGTAATATTACACATCTTTTACATATCTCCTCGTAATATTACACATCTTTCAAATATCCCCTCGTAATATTACACATCTTTTACATATCTCCTAGTAATATTACACATCTTTTATATATCTCCTAGTAATATTACGCATCTTTCACATATCTCCTAGTAATATTACATATCTTTTACATGTACTAACACCGTGCAACCTCATAGAAGATAGCCAACTGCTTCTGGATATTTATCACAAAATCTGCACTTTGAACTAACACAATTTTTCACTATGTGTGCATGGTAAATTTTAGTTAGCAAGCATTGGTTCTGTGCAACAAGAATAAAATCTTCGGTTTTAGTTTTTAACCATGCACTACATAGTCACTGATTGTCGACATCAGTTTGTTTGTTTCGGGCAGAGTATTGACCTGAAGAGACTTATTTTGTCATCGTTTTTATATCTGGTTCATTGCATTTACTTTTTCTTTGTTTTGTATGCTCTTTGTCGCTGCAATGGTTGTATTAGGTTTTACTTACATTTCTTCACCCACTTGAAATTGAAGGACAGTTTAGGCAATAATGGGTAAATTTACTTAGTATTTATTTATTTGTTTATTATTATTACTACTACTTCCCCTCCTCCTCCTCCTCCTCCTCCTACTACTACTACTACGATTATTATTAATAGAAGGGGAGGACTGATAGAAGGAAAGAGAACAAATAAGAAAGACGCAAAAGAAATGCAAAAGAAACGGAAAAGAAAAAGAGAATGAAAAGCGTGTGAAAGAAAGAAGGAAAGGAAGACGAAAAGAAAGAAAGGAAATAGAGGAAGAATATTGATAGAAGGAAAGAGAAAACAGATAAAAAAGAAGGGCAATAAAATTAAAAAAAGATTAATACCAAAAAAAAGCAAGCAAAAAGAAAAAAGAAAAAGAGATTAAAAGAAAGAAAAAGAGAAAGAAGAGATTGAAAGACAGAAAAAGAGAAGGAAAAGAGATTGAAAGAAAGAAAAAAGAGGAAGGAAAGAAATTGAAAGGACGAGAATAAACGAAAGAAAAGAAATTGGAAGAGAAAAGAAAAAAAAGAGAATGAAAGAAAGAAGAAGAAAGAAAAAAGATTGAAAGAAATAAAAAAAAGAGTGAAAAGAGATTAAAAAAGAAAAAGAAAAAAAGATTGAAAGAAAGAAAAAAGAGAGGGAAAATAGATTGAAAGAAAGAAAAGAGGAAGAAAAGAAATTGAAAGAAAGAAAAGAGGAAGAAAAGAAATTGAAAGAAAGAAAAGAGGAAGAAAAAAATTTGAAAGAAAGAATAAACGAAAGAAAAGAAATTGGAAGAGAAAAGAAAGAAAAGAGATTGAAAGAAAGAAAAAGTGATTGAAAGAAAAAAGAAAAAGAAAAGTGATTGATAGAAAGAAAAAAGAGAGTGAAAAGAGATTAAAAGACAGAAAAAAGAGAAAGAAAAAGAGATTAAAAGAAAGAAAAAAACAGTGAAAAAAGATTGGAAAAAAGAAAAAAAAATAGAGTGAAAAGACATTGAAATAAAAAAGAAAAAGAAAAGTGATTGACAGAAAGAAAAAAGTGAAAGAAAAGAGATTAAAAGGAAAAAGAAAGGAAATAATGCAAAGTAGACTGATCGAAGGAAATAAAAATAAAACAAGAAAGAAGTAAAATAAAACTAAAATGGACTAAATAGAAAAATAAAAGTATTAGAGAAATGAAGAAAGTAAAACTGGGTCGATGGAACTCTTTGCAAACCGTCGACGTTTGTTCTAGCACGAAGTCACAAGTCGTCGTGACCGAGATTTTGAGCATGCTGGCCTTGTTCAAATTTTTGATCACACCAGAAAATGCACTCCCTCCCAGAAACTGTAACAAAGGTCCACTCAGCATAGTTGCATTATAAACCACAGTTGGGCTCTGTGGGCATTGATCAAACACATATGTGCCTGAGCGAGCGTCTGCAATAAGGATTGGCTAGCCGCCCTATCAGGCAGATATCCTCAGACTTGAGCGGTTAAACATTATAAATCAGATTACAACAATAACATTTTAGTAATTGTGGATTGCTCTACTATCGACCTTTGGGATCTGTCTTTTAACAGAAATGAGCAAACTTAAGCAAAACTAGTGCAATAATTTCCGCTGAACGGAGATATTCCAGGTTGAAATTAATTCTGTCTCTTTTTATTTGCAAAACAATGAAAGATTTGGGAAAAGCAGATATCGATTTCAAGGCCCGAATCCGGGAGCATTGTGCTGAAGAATGAACGACGACATTCTTTTTACTTTCATAAACTGACATATTCTCCAGAACTTCCTTCCGTTTGTTGACGCCGGATGCATTCTTCAACCTTCAGATTATCTGTGACATTTAAATGGATTGGAAGTTTCATTTTCTTGACTTTCAAGTTATTCATATTTTTTAAAAAATCTGTGTGGATTGTTGAAAATGAAAAATTACAAATATCCATTTCTACAAAGAATAATAATCGCTTGGTCCCTCTTGAAAGACAAAAAATAAGTCATTTCTCTAACTTTTCCTTTCTATAAAATTTCTTTCTTTTCATCTTGTATCTTCGTACTATAATATCTTTTCTTTCGTTATTTCGTTTCCTTTCTTTTTTCCATTCTCCATTTTTTTCTTTCTTTCTTTCCAACTTAAATCTTTCTAACTTAAGATTATTTCTTTTATTTACGCTTTCTTTTTCTTTTCTTTTCTTTTTTTCTTATGGTCTTTCTTTTTTCATCTTCCATCTTTGTACCCCAGTATTCCTTCTTTCTTTTTCTTTACATATTTCTTTCTTCTTTGCATCTTCGTATTATAATAGTCTTTCTTTCTTTCAAACATTCTTTCTTTCTTTACATCAACCATCTTTGTAGGTCAATATTCATTATTTCTTTATTCCACTCTTTTTTCTTTCTTTCTTTCTTTCTTTCTTTCTTTCTTTCTTTCTTTTGTTTTGCCTGCCTTTCTCCTTTCATTCTTTTCTATATAGCTTTTTTAATTTAATTTTTACATATTTTTTCTATATAGCTTTTTTACTTCTTTATTTCGTTCTATCTTTTGATTGGTCTGGCTCTCAGTTCTTTCCTTACTTAATACATCTCCATTCTTCTTGTCTATATAGCGTTCTTTTTTCATTCTTTATTCCTCTCTTTCTTTGTGTCTTTTATTTCGTCTTGCTCTCATTTCTTTTCTTACTTAATATATTTCCTTCCTTTTTTCTCTTCTATAAAGTTTTCTTCTTTGTTTGTTTCTTTCTTTCTTTTGTTCCGTCTTACCCTCATTTTTTTTTTTCTAACTTAATTTCTTTTCTTTCATTCTCATCTTTTATATAGCTGTCTTACTTTCTTTCTTTCTTTTTTCTTTCTTTCTTTCTTTCTTTCTTTCTTTCTTCTGTCTAACTCTCATTTTTTTTCTTACTTAATATCTCTCCTTCCATTCTTCTCTTCTTATTGTGAGACCGGAAACTACCTACACAATAGACTCTTCCAGGTCTATATTAAGTAGGCGACATAGCACTCTAGAGAGTGACAGAGACACTGAGAGTCAGAGAGACAGTGAGAGCCGCGTACGACTACCAGTATTGGACACTAACATATAGTAAGCTCCGCTTACAGTATCTCTGTAACCTGTTGTTAATATATCTTTCTTACATCTAATCCGTGTTCCGTGTTTTCCTTCTGTGGTCCCAACTTTGGTACCCACATCACTTCTATATTTTCTTTCTTTCTTTCTTTCTTTCTTTCTTTCTTTCTTTCTTACTCTCATTTCATTTTTTACTTAATATCTCTCCTTCCATTCTTCTCTTCTATATTTTCTTCTTTCTTTCTTTGTTTGTTTGTTTGTTTGTTTCTTTCTTTCTTTCTATTTTCTGCTTCTTCTAGCTCTCAATTCTTTTCTTACTTAATATCTCTTCTTTCATCCTCCTCTTCTATATAGCTTTCTTTCTTTATTCCTTTCTTCTTTCTTTTTCTTTCTTTCTTTCTTTCTTTCTTTTGTTTTTCCTGGCTTTCAGTTCTTTTCTTAATTAATATCTCCCCTTTCATTCTTTTCTGTAAAGATTTTACTTTAATTTTTTCATATTTTTTTCTATATAGCTTTTTTACTTCTTTATTTCGTTCTATCTTTTGATTGGTCTAGCTCTCAGTTCTTTCCTTACTTAATACATCTCCATTCTTCTTGTCTATATAGCGTTCTTTTTTCATTCTTTATTCCTCTCTTTCTTTGTGTCTTTTATTTTGTCTTGCTCTCATTTCTTTTCTTACTTAATATATTTCCTTCCTTTTTTCTCTTCTATAAAGTTTTCTTCTTTGTTTGTTTCTTTCTTTCTTTTGTTCCGTCTTACCCTCATTTTTTTCTAACTTAATTTCTTTCATTCTTATCTTTTATATAGCTGTCTTTCTTTCTTTCTTTCTTTTTTCTTTCTTTCTTTCTTTCTTTCTTTCTTCTGTCTCTCTCATTTCTTTTCTTACTTAATATCTCTCCTTCCATTCTTCTCTTCTATATTTTCTTCTTTCTTTCTTTCTTTCTTTCTTTCTTTCTTTCTTTCTAACTCTCATTTTTTTCTTACTTAATATCTTTCTTTCTTTCTTTTCACGTTTCATCTTTATTCCTCAATTTTCTTTCTATCTAACTATCTATGAATTTATCTTTTTCACGTTCATATTTTCTTCCTCATTTTCTTTCTTTCTTTCTTTCATGTCTTTAATTTTTAAAAAGAATAATAATTGCTTGGTCTCTCTTGAAAGACATAATCAAAATAATTCATTTCTCTAAATTTTCTTTTCTTTAAACTTTCTTTTCATCTTCTATCTTTGTACTGTAGTATCTTTCTTTGATTCACTCTTTCTTTTTTTCTTTTCTTTTATCTTCTTTCTTTTATTCTTTTCTTTTTTTCTTTTAATCTTCCATCTTTGTATCCCAGTATTCCTTCTTCATTTTTTCTTTATACATTTCTTTCTTCCTTGCCTCTTCTTACCACAATATTCTTTCTTTCTTTCAAACATTATTTCTTTCTTTTCATCTTCCATCTTTGTAGCTCAAGATTTTTTCTGTCTTTTTCTGTTTGTCTACATTTTCCATCTTTGTAACTAACTATTCTTTCTTTCGTTCTTTCTTTCTTTCTTTCTTCAATCCTTTCTTCTTTTCTGTTTTTTCTTTCCTTATGTATTTTCATGATCCATCTTTATTCCTCAATTTTCTTCCTATTTAACTATCCATCTATCAATGTATCTTTTTAGGTCCATATTTTCTTCCTCGTTTTCTTTCTTTCTTTCTTTCTTTCTTTCTTTCCTTCTTTCATATCTCCGGAGTCTGTCCAGACGACACTATTCACATCACGGCAAAAATAAAAACGAGTCGAGATTTCTTTTATAACGAAACTTCTAGGAAGTTTACCATTTTGATCTGCAAACAAAAATTGTTGATTCGTATTTCGAAATGACTTGTGACGATTCACTGAATGTATTTCTTTCTTTTAGATTACATTTAATAAAAGACATTTGGTTACACAGTGATCTCTCTTCATTCATGACTTCTAACAATATAGTTTTCATTAGTCTTTTTCTGTTAGGTTATATTTCGTCTAATACAAAGTTACAATTCTCTTCTTTTAGGAGTATTAGTGTCCATATGGCATAAAAGAAATATTCACTTTTAATAACATATTGGCAGATTCTTTCAATTTTCGGATTTCCCAGTGCGCTTCAAAGTCAGTACTTTTGCCTTTTTTCCTATAAAGTACTAAAATACAGTTATATATATATATATATATATATATATACACATATATATATATATATATATATATACATATATATATATATGTGTGTGTGTGTGCGCGTGTGTAGCTCGCGCGTGTGTGTTTGTGTGTATGAGTGTGTTTGTGCGTATTAGAAATCATATGTTAGTACGACGATAAATTAAGTGAATATATCTCTCTGTATATATATATATATATATATATATATATATATATATTCATAGCACAATAATATACATTTAGCATATATATATATATATATATATATATATATATATATATATATATATATATACATATCACTGCTATAAACAGACAAAAATTAGTTTTATTATTACCACTCACGATAATAAAAAGTAAAAATGAAAAACGAGCTAGCTAACTGGTTTCGTACGTCGCTCAAAAGAGCTAAATCGACGTAAATAGATTAAATTATATAAAAATAAAAGACCAATGGACAAAAGTGTATTGGGAGGAAGAGAAAAAATATTTAAATGGTAATTAGTTGGAGGCCTAATACAAAGTCCTTCTGTTTACAAAGTAAGAACATAGATGGCCTCCAACACCTTTAGGTGGTAATTAGAGTAGGGCCTGCTAAGGATGGTAAAAGCGTCACCACTAAAACTAACAGCACAATTATGGCTATTTATAAGGTGTTCTGAGATGGAAACTAGCTTAATTTTCGAAATATTTAATGCACCCACACACACATACACACATATATGTGTGTGTGTTTCTAGGTCAGCTGCTAGGAAAGTTGTTTCACTGTGTTATGTTAGACAGTTCTTTCTCGCCTGAATCCATCTAACCCATTTATAAGTCAATCATTTCTCCATGCTTTGAATCTTACTCTCACAATCTTACCTGGTGCGTCTTCTGTGTATTTAGAGATTCTTGATAAAATCCGATGAATAATCTGCAATACTATCAGTCCTAACCTGGAATCTCGACTCCAGTAAATTCCCCACCGCCTTTTACTATAAATATTTTCATGGTAACTTTTCTGATATGTTCCCCATTTTTGGTAACACATGAGTCTTTGTTAGTTTATCGCCTGGATTGAGGTGAAATGATTTAAAATCTGGTCAAGGAAAAAACATTATCAGTTTTCAGTATTAAACCTTACTGATTGGTTTTCTTATTGAACATAAGTGTGGCAGCAATCAAACCGAGGATCGGAGACTCTCGATAATTTGAATCTTCATGTTTCTGAATGTAAATGAGATTGTGGGTCTCGTGTGCAATTTTTAGGTGGAGGTGTGTGTTCAATAAATAATCAAAGATAGAAGAAGCATCCAGACCTTTTTTTTCTTTTATGTTGTCTGCACTGAAACTAAGTTAAATAGCTTTTGTGTATGTCCGTTTTCTTTTTTTCTTGTTCAGAAATAACTTCTGAGAATTAAGGATAAATGGGTAAAGATGGTCGAGTTCAAGTCAGCTTCGCGCTGAGTTGGGAAGACCAAACCTATACTTCATGAGTAGGGCGAAATGAAAACACGTCCGAACGATCAGGTTGGGACAGAAAGAGAAAGAATCTGTCTTTTCCGGAAGTAGGGTCATAAAATCGCGCATATGACCAGAAGCTTTTTCTGGATTCCTTTCCATCAAACATAAATAAAACTGAATCAAAAATTAAAAGTGGATCAAAACAGTCTTCCGTCGTGGAGTTCTGACGGATATATTGCATTATTGATGGTCAGCCAATCAGTTATTATTAACAAGTTATTCTCTGAAGCGCGTCAATGTTGAAGAATCGTTAGAAGAATAGCCTGAAGAATTGCTATTAATGAATAATGATTTGGATTTTCGCTGGATATTCAAAACTTATAGCCTTGTGCCAAAAATAAGTTATGCTTATTAATTTCCAACAAATTATTGTCAGTAAAATTTAATCTTGCGTTTAAGCCATCAAATTCCTCCAAATAGCCTGAATCAAATTTAATAAATCCGTATTAATCATTGTTACAAAATGAGCCGGCTAGACAGCGTGGAGATGAATGTAATTACTGACCCTACTGTACTTGTCTGAACTTTGGTCCGAAGTTACCCTAACTGAGTTCGAGTGGTTTGAACCGTATGTAATTATAAAAGTGATGACTGAAAAAATGCTGGAAAACAGGCGGCATGGTTTTGGTAGTAGAGTGTCTAGAGCTCAGATACTTCTCCAGACCATCCTCTCAGAAAAAAAACAAATGATGAGAATCGCAGTCCGATGAAGGTTCGAAGCAGAGATGGCATCAGGAACGTCGGTAGGATAAGTAGCTGGTCAATGTGTTAACATCCGCATTTTTCTCTCTTTCTCTCTTCCGCTCGCGCACTTGCTCCTCCTCCTTCTTCTTCTTCTTAGCCTCCTTGTTCTTTTCTTCTTCTCCTTTCCTCCTCCTTCTTCTCCTCCTCCTCCTCTTCCTTCTTCTTTTTCTTTTTCTCAGCCTTCTTCTTCTTCTTCTTTCCTCCTCCTCATCCGCCTTCCTCTTTTCCACTCCTCCTCCTCTTTCTTCTCCTACTCCTCCACTTCCTCCTCCTCCTTCTTCTTCTCATCAGCTTTCTTCTTCTTCTATTTTCCTCCTACTCTTTCTTCTCCTCCTCCTCCTTCTTATTCGTCTTGTCAGCCTTCTTCTTCTTCTTCTTCTTAGACTTCTTGTTCTTTTCTTCTTCTCCTTTCCTCCTCCTTCTTCTCTTCCTCCTCTTCCTTCTTCTTTTTCTTTTTCTCAGCCTTCTTCTTCTTCTTCTCCTTTTCTCCTCCTCATCCGCCTTCTTCTTTTCCATTCCTCCTCCACTTTCTTCTCCTACTCATCCACCTCCTCTTCCTTCTTCTTCTTCTCATCAGCCTTCTTCTTCTTCTTCTCCTTTCCTCCTACTCTTTCTTCTCCTCCTCCTCCTTCTTATTCGTTTTCTCAGCCTTCTTCTTCTTCTTTACTCCTCTTTCTTCTTCTTCTCCTCCTCCTCCTTCTTCTTCTTCTTTCCTCCTCCTCATCCGCCTTCTTCTTCTTCTCTTTTCCTCCTCCTCTTTCTCCTCTTTCTATATATTGTTATTATGACGGATCAACTCAACTGGCTACGTGACTTAATTTTTGCCCCTCTAGCCAGACTATAGCTTGACTCGTTTCTCTTCTTTTAGGAGTATTAGTGTCCATATTGTATAAAAGAAATATTCACATTTTAATAACATATTGGCAGATTCTTTCAATTTTCCGATTTCCCAGTGCTCTTCAAAGTCAGTACTTTTGCCTTTTTTCCTATAAAGTACTAAGATACATATATATATATATATATATATATATATATATATATATAGTTGAAGTGTAAATGTATTATAGCTTAATCAAAATAGACAACCACGTTTTACAAAGCTATACAGACTTTGTAACTAATTTTCCACGAGATATCTATATCTGCTTAATTAAAAGCGGTTTACACCGAAGACTAAGTTTTAATCACTACATACAGATGTTACCCGAAAATAACTTTCATAAAGCAATGCTTATCTTCATTTGGAAATAGATTTATAAAAGTTTCGTTAACACGAATGGAGTCGTGAAGAAATGGCATTTTAGAAAAGCGATATGATTTAAAAAACAAAAATTCGTTCATACTGTTTTTTATGAATGTCTAAGGTACTTAGACATTAGAAATTTATATTCAAATTTTCACTGGAAACAAAGACAATTGTCGGAAATATAGATAAAAAAAAATAAAGAAAACTTTTTCAAAATCCTTAAAAAATATATCGGTGTAAAAACATTTATATCTGAATTGTTTGTTTTCAAAACATTTTCAAAATTGTTCACATTTTTTATTGCAATCATGTTCATCCGGTACAAGGTTCAAGACCCACTCGAAATTAAGACATACAGAGTTCAAAACATTTTCAAAAATGTTCACATTTTTTATTACAATCATGTTCATTCGGGAGAAGGACCAAGATCGACTCGGGTTAGTGAAATGTCGAGTTAAAGGCACCGTTTATGGGTCTATGTTTGGGAGATTACGGTTAATCATAGACATTCACAGGTTAATATTCTAGTGATAGAGGTGCCATCTTCTTGGGTGTCAGTTCTACAATGTAGCAGTTTGTGAGAAGAAACGCTTGGAGTGGAATTCAGTGATCACCAAAGAAATACGAAGAGAATAAGGCTGGTTCGGTGCAATGGGCGTGGCAATGCGGGTTTTAGCCCTGAGGGTGTAACTGGTGCTATTAAAGAATATAGTCCTTCTGAACACTTTCCATGGATATAGCGACAGAATAGCAAGGGACATGCGACGTTTCGTCTGTGGGAATCGGACTGTAGGGTGGAAAATAAGTCTTCACCTAGAGACGCTTTTTTCAAAAATGCTAATAACAGGAGGATCGAGGTGCTTCCGGATGTGATACAGAGAACTGACTTTTTTTTTTTTTTACTATCATTAACGATGGATCATATGAACGAGTTCCACTTGAGGAAAGCTTTCGATTGGTTTATTTTGTTTTACGTCCTATCAAACTCAATGGGTTATTTAATGCCGATGTGACGTCCCTAAACACAGCCTTCGCCCGCTCCTCGCTGCTTCGTTCGGGTGTCGCCGCTCCAAACGTGACGTCCGCCTGTCGCGTCAGTCGTGTTGTCTCGTCCTGTGACGACCAACTGGCTTGGTATCGGTCGCGGTACCCAAATGTGACGTTCTAACCTTTTGGTGACTCGGATGGGAATCTGGTTAGATTCGATATCAGCCTCGTCGTTCCCAACTCGCTTCCAACGTCTGGTTACCAAAGTAACTGCGTTGATCTCCAGTCTGCCTACCCACGTTGTGAAATGATCTTAGGCAGACGAAATCAATCAGTCGTTAGGGCCGTATGCAAGCTGGGTTCAAGCGGGGGTGGTATCGCACAAATACGTATGAAAGAAATAAAATGATTACTCAAAATTTCAAGGTATCAGAAAAAAAAAAGGATAACAAACTTTATGTCTAGTTGCTGGATACATAGGACTGCGTCTATCTCCCGACCCGTTATATGGATTGTGACACGTTGTTCTTTTGTAAGGCGAGTTTTAACACTTTAAGTTGTCTGTTCTTCAAGAAATTGGTTCTTGGTGTGTCTTCAGGCGAAAGTCGAAAAAACTTATCTTGGTGGTCTGGATCTAAGTCGCTCTTCAAAATAATTGTTCTTGGATTGAAGATGAGTCCGGAGATTGCGCGAATCTTAGTCAGGTGGTGCGAGGCCTGCTTCAACTGAGCACTGGAGACTGACTCTGGGAAACCGGAGTCCGAACTTAACTCTGGAACTGATTTCTGCTCGATGCGACTTTGCTTATATGGACGCCGACCAAAACCGGGGTGGGTTTGTCGGCGTCGGAGGTTCCTCGATAATTTTAAATACATATCCACTTCTTTTTTTTTTGGTCAGGAATTTTCCACTTCTTTTTCCATTTTGGGAGCCTTCTTACTCCCACCTTCTCACCATACTTCAGAGGGGCGTCAACTGCCCTCCCCACTTCTTCGTAGCAATCTCTCATACCCATCATCTAGGTGGGCGGCGACAGCTTCCTCCTTGCGTCACGTGATCACCACTCGGCCAATGATGTCCATCCGGGCGTGTGCGATCCCGCGGGCTTGGTTTCAGGGAAAAAAATATATCTTGCTTAACAAAAAAAAAATAATCTTTTTTTTTCCTCTTCTTTCTTTTAATCGCAGTTCTCATTTTCTCTGGCCGCCAATACAACAATGCGACCGGTGGTGGTCATAACGCTTGTTCTCATCTGGACTTCGTCAGTCGGATTATCGCTAATTATCAGAATGTGGTCTACTCAACACAATACCGTCGTCCGTACCCTAAAAAAAAAAAAAAAACAGTTCCATGGTTCTAGTCATTCTTTGGTGCACCTTTCTGATAACATAGTTTTGTTATCACATCCAAAGATGTCTTTGTCAAAAAAAAAAAAAAAACGGTCAGCCGTTACTTCGTGTGCGGCTCAGCAGACGACACAGTTAATTTTTCATATCTATCCAAAGCCCTGTATTTCACCTGTTTTTCGTCAATTATCAAAATAACATTTTCAATTGGAGTTTTTCTTGGCTAGTCGGTCTGTGGTTTGCTAATTAGATGTTTTCCGCATTGAGCTGCTCTTATCTATCCACCGATAACACAAGTTCGTCGACAGAACACAGTCGATTCCCCCATCCACCTAGAATTCTTCTGCCATTGTAATGACACCTTTTTCGCCATTTGCTATTTATCAAAATAACATTATCAATTGTCTCTGGTCGTGGGTGTTTTTTCTATCATCCACGATTGGGTCTCGCCTCTCTTTTCCTTTCTTTCCTTTCTCTTTTTCCTTTCTTTTCTTTTTGCCCTGGTAAATGGTGCAACACCGACAAGATTTTTAGTATAGATTCGTATGAATAGAATATGAATTCTTTACTTAAGATTGGTTTGGTTTATTTTATCTTACGGCATATCAACTTCAATGGCTTATTTAATGCCGACAACATTTTTAGGATAGATTCGTATGAAAAGAATATGTATTCTTTGTTTTAGCTTGGTTTGGTTTATGTTATTTTACGGCATATCAACCTCAATGGCTTATTTAATGCCGACAACATTTTTAGGATAGATTCGTATGAATAGAATATGTATTCTTTGGTTTAGATTGGTTTGGTTTATTTTATCTTACGGCATTCTCGGCCTCAAGAGCTTATTTAATGCCGACAACATTTTTAGGATAGATTCGTATGAATAGAATATGTATTCTTTGGTTTAGATTGGTTTGGTTTATTTTATTTTACGGCATGTCAACCTCAATGGCTTATTTAATGCTGACAATTTTTTTAGGATAGATTCGTATGAATAGAATATGTATGAAGTATATGCATGAAATCAGTTTGTAGAATAGATTCCATTGATTAATTTTTCGAAAGTGTTTTTTTTGTCGAAATTTAAATATATTTCCGTTAATATTTTTTCAAAGAATATATTGCTGGTAATTTATATATACATATGTACATGTCTTATGCAACAGTTGAACGACAATATATTTGTCGGTGTTTCTAATTTCAATTCCAAGGTGATAGCTTTTCTTTTCTTTGAATCACTAAATGACAATAAATAAGTTACAAAAACAGCACAAACAAAAGTGCGCGAATGTATAACGATCCAGTATGGCTTACAACCAGGAACTCACCCACGACGCATTCCTCACTCGATCATCGTATGTCGATGTATTCAACCGCCGCCCTATGTATACTACCACCGCGCTGTATGTACGAGGTAAATGGCGTAAGTCGAAACAATTTTGATGGAGACTGTGTTGTCACCACGAATCATTGGTCGGGTGTGTAAAAAAAAACAAAAAACGATTAATTACTGTATTTATTTCGAGATATTAAACTTGCCTTTAATCCAAATAGAAATAATAGTCGTATTTTCATAGATTAGACATTGTTAATTAATATCAAATTTTGACTCGTATTTATGCCATCCGTCCTGATGGTGTGTCGGTTGATGTGTCAGGATGGCTTGCGTGCTTCAACGAACCAACAGAACGGTGTAGGCAGGGGCCTCGGCCCTTAGCAGGTCCAAACAAGCTCAGCAGGTCTGTCGGGTAGATACACCTTGCCCCTCCAGGTTGGAGATTGTACAGTAGGCTAACAACCTACTTAAAAACTAGATTGTTACATCAACGATATATAACATTGCTGAGAAAGTGTCCTCCAAAGTGGAGCGTATGACGCGGGCTGGTGAAAATCCCCCGGGAAGGCAGCCGGCACGACATGGGTCGAGCTGAAGAGGATCGTCCGGAACCGCGTCCTTTTGGAGAGGTGTTGTTGCGCCCTTATGTTCTCCAAGGAATTAAGACTCATAATGATGAATTTATGCAATCAAGGTTTCCGGCGGCACCTACGCTGGAAGCATTGGCACCAGCTGAACCTGATCCTAACTAGACAGCACCTAACTCGAGGACCTAATACTGGCAGAAAAGAACGCTGCAATATAGACAACACCTGGACAATTCACAGGTGTCGCCTGTGTGACAGTGACTGACAGTCACCTATCAGTCGACTCAGTACTTTCTGAGCGACTGTTCGGT